TCCCCCCCCCCCCCCCAGAGCCCTCGAGTCAGTCGGTCAGTTGGTGTAAAATGGAGGCAGTGGCACTGAAACCTGACCTGGTGAATGTGGTTAAAGATCTACCACCTCCCCCTCTTGTGGTGATGTCTCTCAGCATAAGAACAATTCCGAATCCAAAGACTCATCAGAATGAGGTGAGTAAACTGTTTTGAAGAGGCATTTTATTTACTTTGGCATATGCTAAATACCCATTGGTAACTGAAATAATTTTACCTAACAAGAGGACTGTGACTGTGATTGCTACTTTCTGTGGACTGGATTCTGTCTCAGGTGACTTGTTTTAGGATGAAGGAGGTGCAGGATATGTAGACTGAGCAAGTCCATATATTGAACCATCATAGCAGAACCAGGGACTACATTTGTATTTAAACCTGTTTAGAATAAATATTCTCCACTCCCTAAAATCTATTTTTGACTACTGTAAACTTATGTTTTAAGACTATTAAAAAACTCCAATGTTGTAAACAATTGTGTAGCTTTAAATATTACATCCTAATTGTCCTACATCCTACATTGCAGTATTCTGTCCCTGTAATTTTGAAGCAGAATAGAGACCTGGTTAGAACTCTTCATCCGTTATGCTGCCGTCACCTTTTTTGTTCAACAAGAGAGCTGTCTGTAGCAGTAGTCTAGCTAAACAGAGACAGTTGTCTTAGATAAACTTCATGTTACAGTTGGTTTGAGAAAGTTATGCAGTTTTGTCATTTTGTGAAAAATGAAGTGTTCTGTGGTGATTTTTTTAATTTTTGATGAAATTGGGACAGAACCCAGGCAGGGTGCTAAGGGAACTTTGCTTACCACACATGTCTGCTTCCTTGTGTGCCCAACTACCCAGTCCTTGGGACTTTCAGGTTCCTACCTCCTTGGCAGTCTTCCTGGAAACTAACAGCCTGGAGTCCTCTACTCCAGAAGAACCTGATTAAGAAGAGTGCCATAGAGTTGTGGCTACTTTCCATTTCTCAGGGAATGTCTAAATTTTGGGGTTTTATTCAGATTTTGGGATGAATTTTTGTAATAAGGAAATCATCTGAAAGGAGAATTACCTTTGTCTGCCTAACTCTGTGTGATGATTAAAACTATGAAGTATCATTTGAATTGTGTTATTGTAGGGACCCAGGCTGAGTGGCTATGCTGGGGTGGGGCCCGGGTGCTGCATACTCAACAGGTGTCTTATTCCTCTATTTTTGTATCTTTCCTGCCACAACTTGGTGTACTTATAAAGGGTATCAGGAGGTGGTACCTGATTGTACAGGGTTCATTGAACGTGAAGAGGGTCACGATGCCTGAGAGTCTTCTGTGGGTCTCCGCCTCCCCTACACCCCACCCCTTTCTACTTGGGTGTTCTGTTGGTGATATAAGTAGGTGCCTGGTCTTCCTCGGTATTTGGTTTTGTTTGCTAGGTAGAGGGGTCCATGAAGGAAGGAAACTGAAATGGGGTCAGTGTAAATTGGCTGAGCCCAGGGGTCTTGGTAAAGTTTTGTGTTCAGTGGCATTCAGCCCACGTAAGAAAATGAATAAACAAATACAACTTAAATAATGGTGTCTGCATCTGCTTCAGGCCTCGCTTTGTCCCAGCAGCATACCTTGGCTGTCTTTCTCCAGGCTGTTAGAGCTCTTCATTGTTTGTCCCCTATTGTGAGCCCAGTCCAAGCAGGCTGGCCTGCTTTGGGCCAAGCCCTTTGGATAGTTGAAGGCCATGGGTACTACGAGCCCGTGTGGGGCTCCTAAAGGTACCTGACCTCCAATGACTGCATGATGGTCAGGGTTCCATGGGGAGAGCTGGTGTTGAGCTGGTCCTTGGCTCTGGTGTAGGGAAATGGTGTGGGCCTGTGCCTACACCAATGTTTCCCCTTGTCTGGAGCTGGTGCTGCCTTATGCAGGAAGTTCCGGATGGGCCTGGGGCCAACTTGGATTCCTGCCTGTGCCTACATGTCTTGTGGCCACTGCCAGGTGTTGAGAGCCCCAGAGGGGCTCATCAGCTCTTGCACTCACAGCTTTCAGGCCCTAGGCGGCACTGGTTGTGTCAGCTGCTTGCCCTCTTTTTTGGGCTGGGCCCTGTCCCCCTGTGGAGCTCAGCTTCAGGGTTTCACTCTAGAGCGTGCTGCCTGTCCTACCCCAGGAGCAGGGGTGTGGCAGAGCGCGGTATTGGCCTGTTAGGTCACTGCTTCTCTTCGGGGCCAGCTGTGGAGCACGCCAGTGGTCGTTGCCCTGGTAAGCTCAGGGCTTGCCCAGGTCCCTGCTATAGTTATCTGTTACTTTTAAATTAAGTGAATCATTCTGAAAATATTTGAATTTTCAGCAGAAATTCACTCAATGGGCAGTATAGTTTTTGAATGGAGAAGGAAATAGGGCAAGTTGGTATTTTCTTTCAGTCTGTTGTAAACCTACAAGATCACATCTATGTTTTTACTTATATGATTTTTTTTATTTTTTATTTTTTGTGGTACAGGTTATGGCTATTGCAGCTCTAGTCCATCAAAAATTTTGTTTGGATAAAGCTCCACCTCAGCCTCCTTTTCAGACACACTTCTGTGGTAGGTGTTTCTGTAATAATGTTGTTTGTCAATACTGGCTTAATGGTTGGGTGGCTGTGGGAGAAGTATCTAATTAGGTTAGTATCTAGATTTTTGTCACATTATGACTATTTTCTTTCTTTAACTTAGCTGATGTTCTATTTAGTTGATTAAAAACAAACTGGCTATGAAGGCAGGGTAATTCACTTCTAAAGATCCTGCTCTTCTCTCTTACTCTGTTCCATGCTGGTGTTTCTTTTAAATTTCTGTTGTTTAACTTAAAAACAGTGTAGTCCTGGGAGCCAGTTTGGAGTTCTTCCTTTGAAGAGATGCTCAGTTTTAAAGCAGTTTCTCCATAACTTTGGTTGGTGTTTCTTTTTAAAAAGCTGAGTTGAGATCTGGCTGTTATATTATGAAATAAGTAGTGGGAAAACTTGAGAAAGCTGAGTATGTGGGGGTCATAAACCAGAGATCCCATATGTTGGTTCTAAATTGATTAGTGGTTTAGTGTTGTCTCAATTTTCATCATAGAATGATTTTTTAAACCAAGCTATAAACTCTGAAAATGATTTTTATACTAGATACCAACTTGGCGACTCAGCAAATTTAGGTATGGGCTTGCTACCGCTTTGTATCTTGTATAATGGCAAGAAAATTTGTTAACATGTAATAAATACCATCTTTTCTTGCATGCAACACATACACTTTCTGCAAAAAATCAGCCCCCCAAAGTTGGGGTGCATGTATTAAGTGAGGAAACTGATTTTTTGGCTGGGTTTGAAAGAACCCTGCTTTGATTCCTGCTCTACAGTGGAGCAGCTCTAATATTATTTAGGCAGCTGAGGAAATAAGTTGACATCAAGTTTCATTGTTCTTCACTTTACAAGGTATTTGTGTATCTCTCTTTTTTAATAGTCTTGATGTTCCACTAATCAAACTAACCTTTTTAAGGACAATTTTTCTGTCTGTAGCTTGTGCTGGGCTCGTCTCTTGTTTGACAGTTCTTTAGCTCTTTTCAAGATCATGGGTCCAACCATTGAGTCCAGTCTTTAGCAGCAGCTAGAGTTTTAGTTAAGCAGAAAAGGGCGGGTGACTCAGCTTTTCCTTCCTCTGTGCAGCCATCTCTCTGGAAAAATCTTTTCTTCTTCATTCTGCCTTTGAAAGATAAAGGTGAGTTTCATGTTTAGGGACATGTTGCATGCAAGAAAATATGGTAAAATAAGGCTTTTCCTTCTAGACCATTGCTTTAAAGATTATATTAAAAAGAGAAACACACTGACATCCGTACCATACACTTGAGTGAGGCTAAGATGCTATTTTTTTTTTTTGCAGTTATTTCCAAACCAAATGATTGTATCTTTCCTTATGACTTCAAAGATGTCATTAAAACCAAGGTAACTCTGTGTTTTGGGGGTTTTTTTGTATTTGGTACTGCGCTGATAACAGAGTCTTCTTAGATTGAAGGGTATTTGGAAAGAGCAGTGGGGCTGGGAAAGAACGTTATGGCTTCTGGAAGGCAGTCACGCAGCTGGGACCTAAGGCATTTTATTTTCCATCCTTAGAATTGCATGACGTGTCATATGTGCAGGTCATGCAGTTTTGGGGAGGGGACATAAAATTCCCCAGACTGCAGTCGCACAATTGCCGGCTCCCAGGACTGCTGCATGCTGATCCCAGTGACATTTTTGAGATTGGGCAGGGGACAGTCCCTGGATCCAGGACACAACTGCTGTGTGAGATTGGGCAGGGTACAGCTACAGATCCCAAACCAAGACCAGGTGCTGTCCCTTGCCCAATCCCAAGGAGAAGGCTTCTTTTCCCAGGTTTCCTGCTGTGCTGTGTTCTGGACCTGGTATTTTAAAAAGCCTTGCCCTCCCCTGCCCTGCCCTGCCCTGTGGGGGCTGCAAGGCAGCAAACCTTCTGGGTCACAAAAAGCCTTGGGACTCTGCATCTAGTTCTAGACCTAGGGCTACCACTTCCCTATGCTGACAGTTAGCTGATTGTCAGCATCCAGATGGGGCAGCCCTGGGTCTGGGACATGGCACATTTTCAGTTTATCAATATGAATGTCAAATGAATGTTTTTGTGGCTGGTTTGCTATTTTAACGCACTATAAATTGGCTTAGTGTAGGTCAAGTCTCATATTTATGGTGCGCTTAGCACGTTAAACATACCAAAATGTATTGTCCTCCAGTGCCCTAGTTTTCATTTCTGAAAACTTAAGGTCATATCTTTAGATCATTTCTTAAAACCTGTTGGTCTGGCTTGTTATTATATTTATTAAGCCATAATGCTATAATTTCGGACCATTTACAGTCCTGTTAAAAAGTAGCAAAATTGTTACTGTTAAGGTTTTTGAGAAATGCTGGCAGAGTTCCTTGGGCAAGCTTAGTTCATACTTTTTTTGGTATCTACTCAAAGCTGTTTGTATAAATCTCCTGTTTCCTTGGCCTGTAGAGTCCATCAGATTTTTAATCCTTATTTTTAAAGGGTACTGAAAAAGATTAGAACAATAACAGTAACTTACTCTTCTCTCTCCTTTTTCCTTCTTAACATGATTATAAGCTGATAGTTGGGAAGTTGTTTAGCTTTCATTTGATTTGACTTGTAGTAAAGGTCTGGAATGTTGCTCTTTACTGTTACCTACAAAGCAGAGTAAGGCGTCTGAGATGAGCTTCCTCTGTCCATGTGCATGGGAACAGGAAACCTTCAGTTATAGAGGAAGAAAACTACCCATTACAGTGCTTTTATTATCGTCATCTTCTAACTAGTGGATGAGGGGCAGGTTCTTTCGATTTTAAATTTGTATTTCTTCCCCTCTTAGAATGCTAAAATAGAAATTGCTGCGACAGAGAGAACATTGCTGGGTTTTTTCCTTGCAAAGATTCACAAAATTGACCCAGATGTTCTTGTGGTGAGTAGTTTTTTAGAACTAAGTTAAGGAATATTTTTCCTTGGGTGTATTTAACTTCTTTTGTTTCTTTATCTCCATTCTAGCCTTTTGCATTTAATTTAGTTCACATCATGGTTTTGACTTGTATTAAATGCTCTATAATACAGCAGGTATACCTTCTTAAGGACATGATGTGGAATTGCTCCCCAGCAGCAAGTTGTATACCCTGCTGTTTTGAATAGTGCTTAAAATATCTGACCTCTGTCCAATTTTAAAAATGGTTTGTGGGTTTTCCAAAAAAGTAAAAAGCTTGTACTATTCATTAGTCCAAATGCTCATATAATTCCAGCTAATTTCATTTGGATTGTTTGATACCAAATTAAGATGGTAAAATCCATAGATCAAAGCAAAACTGTGTTCTGTGACCAAATAAACATTTTTTACATTTGACATGGGACAAAGTGTTTGTTATATGGGCAATATAACTATAAATGTTCAGATAATGCCGCAATACTCTTTTAATCTAAGGTATCATAACAGTTAAGTAAATATTGGTTTAGCAAACTAAGAAGTTTACCTTTCTGTAAGCTGACAGACTGAACGTATAATATTACTATGGTACCTTGTGCATCTCTTGCAGCAGTAGCAGGGCTTTTTGTGGGGGAAGGGACAAGGCATTGTTTAAACATGTCTTCATATTCTGTACAAAGGGTGTGTGGCTTGACTAGAGAATTTAAATAGAAATCTGCTAGTGGCTGAGGGGTGGGGGTGAGGGGGGAGACTGGAATTGGAAAATGATGATGTATGAACCAGAGCCACTTTGATGAAACAGTTTATTTCAGTATTCTGCTGAGCAGGTTGTTAATGTTAAGGCTAATGAGTACTGATGATGAATAAATTCCCTTAGAAGAAAGGGCCTCCTGTAAGAGGTATGCAGATGATGCCATCAATTAGATTACAAAATACAAAGGGCAAAGGAATGCTAAGTATATGAAAATAAGCCCTTTCATTTGCATTTGTTACAACCTTTTTTGTTGCTTTCTTTCTGTGGCAAGGGTCATAATATTTATGGCTTTGATCTGGAAGTGCTCCTGCAGAGAATTAATGTGTGCAAAGTCCCTCACTGGTCCAAGATAGGTCGACTGAGGAGGTCCAACATGCCAAAGCTTGGGGTAAAATATTACCTAAGTATCTCAAGTTCCTTTCTGTTGCATTTTAATTTATGTTTAATCATTTTGCTGAAGTATTTTGTATGCGCCACTAATGCATTTTGACTGCTGGTCATGCTGAAGTATTTTGAATGTGCTGTTAATATATTTTGACTGTTGGTCATGCTGGATTTCTTGTGTCCCAGTTCAGACATGATGAATGTTTGTATGACTGTTTTATTATAGTAATGAGCTAAACTAATTTTCAAGTTAGGCTAATTTAGTTTACATATCTCAACTAGACGGTAATAATGACAGATTAATTGTAATAGTCTGAACTGTAGCTGTCTTTGTCTATTGCAACTGTAAAATGAGAGGAAAATGTAGCTTGGATTGACTGGTGAATCATCCCATAGAGAGTAGTTTAAATTTATATTTCTCTAGTTCTTATTACGTGCTTGTTCTGAGGACACTTCATGACGTTTTGAATATTTAACTATGGTACCTTCTTCCCCCTCCCCACTCTCTTTTTTCACAGTCATGAAAAATGTTGATGCTTTAATTTGTCCATAAGGAATATGCTCTGTCTACTGTGTACTACCCTTCAAATTTGGAAAGGGTGGAGGAAATGCAGTGAATTCCTAAGGAGGAAATTTTTAATCGTTTTTTTTGGTTATAAATACAGTAAGCTTATTAAATTTGATAGCCAGAACTCCACTTCGACTTGGCTTCCTCCCCTGTTTGTGATGTATCACTTAGTAACCTGCCATTCGTATTCAGAAATTATAGGGTCATATCGTACTCCACTGATTAGGTGCTGTAGTGCAGTCCTATTGTATTCTGTTCATGTCTCTGATAATCCATTAATTCATTTTTTATAACATGCTGTCATCATAGTTTTAAGGCTAAGTCGCACAACAGCAGTGAGGACTTGCCACTTAGGTACCTCTGTATGTCCAGTTAGATCTTGCCAGTACCTTTCAGGGAAAAAAATGAAATTACTAATTCCATGTCAGGTACTTAGTCTTGGGCATTGATGCTGTAAAATTAAGTGAATGTGTAGGGGTTTGCAACTATGCATGACCCTATGGAAGCCAATGGTTGGCTCTTACTAGAAGAAAATAACCATTTGCATTGGGGCTTGTAGGATCATGCCCTAATGTGAATGAGGTTTCCCAGTTGTTCACGTTCGTAAGTTCTTCTAAGTATATCCTGAATTTCTTAGTGCCTGGTTCAATACTTATGATTAAAACAGAAGATTCCAACTGACTTGAGGCAACTGGATCAGACCCTGCTCAAGTGCATTATCTTTTCTTTATTTTCACGTGACTAAGGGTCGAGGTGGCTTTGCTGAAAGGAATGCTGCCTGTGGTAGAATGATCTGTGACGTGGAAATTTCAGCAAAGGAATTGATTCGTTGCAAGAGCTACCATTTGTCTGAACTGGTCCATCAGATTCTGAAAACAGAGAGGATAACCATTCCACCAGAAGAGATACGAAACATGTACAGGTATATTGCTGGATTTCATTAGGGAGTGAAGGAGCTATTTAATTTAGGTTATTGTATATAACTTTAATTTTCTTTCTTAAGCTTGCCAGCAAATGTACATTTAAGCATTTATTTTTACATTAAAAAATTAGAATTTTTATTTTACAAAGACTAAATATTCCTTATAACACAACTGTTGGTGATAGCTTACAATGAGCACATCAAAATAATTTGTGAAAATGTTACTTAAGATACATTAATAAACCCATCTTGAATGACTTTCTGCAACTATATGACTGTGGCATCATCTGCAGTGGTATGCTGCAGATAATATGGGATCACAATACAGAATATATGTCCAGTCTTCCGCAAAATGTATAGGACCTTTAACCTGTCCTTTTGTCTCTTCCCAGTAATTCTCCCCACTTAATGTGTATGCTGGAAAACAGCTGGACAGATGCCAAGTTCATTCTTGAGATCATGTGTGAGCTGAATGTTCTTCCTTTAGCCTTGCAGATCACAAATATCTCTGGGAATATCATGGTAATTTTTTTCTTCCCCATCTGTATTACAGTGCAACTATTCCATAGTGTTTTCAGTGTTTGGATGTTTTACTGGTTTATTAATGTTTAGTCTGAGTCAGTGATTGCAGGGTATATACTTCACTTTGCATTAACTTTGTGCTATGACGAGAGTGCTTCCTTTGTCCTTCAAAAGAATTAGAAATGCTGCTATGTTCAGTACCTTCAAATTTGGATGACCAAGACAGAATTTTGACTTCGGACAGCGTTTGTAGTGTGGAGGTATAAAAGTGATAGACTACTGAATCATTTGTTAGATTATTTATGTATGTTAAAAACTGCACAGACAAAATTATATTAAATCTAAAAAAGAGCAACAATTAAAAGAACACATTGTAAACAGTTCAAATCAATGTCCTAATTCATTTTTACTTTCTGTAGTTTGTTTTGAATTCTTCTATTTTTTCCTCTTAGTCAAGGACAATGATGGGTGGGCGATCTGAACGTAATGAGTACTTGCTTCTTCATGCATTTTATGAGAGAGACTATATTGTGCCAGACAAGCAAGTTTTTAAAAAGCCTCAGCAGAAGCTGGTGGGTCCAAAATTTATTTTTGTTTGTCACTATTCTTTTTTCCTTATAAAAATGTTAACATATCCTTTTTATTTGTGTATGTTCTTTATGAAAACATTAAGAGTAACTGTAGCAGCTGCAGAAATAATATGATCAGTACAACCAGAATTTTTACTAAAATTGATAAGACAAGTTGTTTGAAAAGTCTGTGGTGTAAAGGGATGCTGTCATTAGAAGAACTGATGTTTTTCTCTTAAAAGACCCCTTACTTTGTTTATAGTATAACCATTTTTTTTTCAGTGTCAGTAATCAAATACATTTTTCTTTTTTGGTATTTAATGATGTGTATTCTGTTTAATTATTTTCTCATTGTTGAGTCATTTTTTTCCATTGCAAAAACCCTTGTCTGGTCCATCTTAACCCCCTGTCTGCCCCCCTAACCAAACAAACATGCCTAGATGAGCTGTATAAATAATGCTCTGAGAGAGGAGCTCTAAGGTGAAATTGCCCCTTTAACAAATATATTTTTTAATGAAATTGGAAAGTTAGAAGAAATTACAACTTCAGTTAATTTAGTTCTATTTATAATCCTTCGATTTGTGTACCTCTATGTATTTGGCTTCCTTGCCATGCTGTTATTTAAAGCTAAAATCAGCATAGTAGTCTGAAATACTAGAAATTAGGGAGCAATTCTGTATGAGAATAGCTTGGATGACTTTAGGCTTTTTAAATTGCACTTAAAGGCAAATTCATGTTGTCTAGGAGCGATATTTCAAATATGAAGCAGTAAAATAACAGATTGCTTTGAGATGTACATGAAAAACTTTCATAGTTAACTTCAGATAATCTCTTAAAAGAATAGCATCTGGTTAAAGATATTTTAGAATACTTCCTATTTGGTTAACAAACTGTAGGCTTAAAGCTGAAAAACTACATCTAATTTAAATTTCACTGTTTTTGCTTTTTGCTTTTATTTATTTATTACTCAAGCTGAGTGCAAAATAGATCGATTGGTTTCACTTCACTCCACTCACCATAGTATTTGGGTTATAAATACAGCAGAATAGTGTGGAAGTCCTAAAGAAGACTTCTTCCTGAAGTAAAACATGCAAAAATACTTTTACTCCAAGGTGTTTCTTTTTGTTTTACACTCATACCCCAACAATCATAATCTTAAAATAAGTTTGCTGTTTCTCTATTATTGGTTGTGTGTTAATGCCAGGGAACATAGACTAGTTCTCTGTTTCATGATGACAGTTCTTAAAAGACTGTGTAATCAGTCCATTCTCATAGTAGTAATACATTGGGCTATTTTATGAGATAGGGAGCCTTAATCAGAATACTAAAAAAAAATTCATTTAGCATGTGCATTTTATAAAACTCCCAAACCTATGTCATGTGCTTCGCTCCCCCTGTGCTCTCCCTTCTTTTTTTTTTTTGTAAATTCAGACTTCTATATTGCTGTGTAAGGAGAGTTCAGTTTTGGAATTTTTTATACCAAATATAGGTAGATGAAGATGAAGACTTTGAAGATCAGACTAAATCTAAGATAGGGAGAAAGAAGGCAGCATATGCTGGAGGTTTAGTCTTGGATCCAAAAGTTGGTAAGTTTTAGTAACTTCATTTTCTTTGACAGCATATCAACAAGAAAATAAGTTTGACTTCTCCAGAATATAGTACATCTCTCTTTTTTTAAGAATATAGAGGTATAAGTAATTTTGTATGTTTTTTGGCCTGGCAGTGAGGCTTTTCCGGACATCACGTCAACCCAGGCATTTGAATTTCATTGTGTTTGCCGGTAGTGTAGTGTATCTCCCTTTGTTTAGTGTATTGGAGAAATAAGGCTTTATTGAGGGTAGCTGTGTTGCATATGCATAGGTATGTTTTGCTTGTGGATGCTTAAGGGTTTTTTTTTTACAGTTTCTCCTGTATATGGTGATAACTGAACACAAGTATCCTACAGTAACACAGAAGCTATCTGTTCAACCCTGATAAGTTAAAAGGGTTTGGATCGTTCCACTTCTGACAGCTTTTTTTATTACTGGCTATTATTATATGTTACAATTTAAGAGTATTACTTGGAGAATTCATTACATTGTGCTGCTGAACTGGATCACTTGAATGAAATCTAGACTAGATTTCCAAGGTAATTCTTAAGCCATACAAGATGTAGTATATACTGACAACTTGGTATTCAGTTAGAGTTCATCTTTGAAGAATGAGACCTGAGATTCTGAAATTTCTGCAGGAAAAGACAGTCTCATGATTCACTTCTCCCAGTTTTTTCACACTGCTTTCTGAAGTATTCTCTTCCCAGTGCAAATTCATTCAGTAGTCAGAATACTTATTTACAGTTGGTGCATTAGAACCTGAAAGTCAGTGGAATTTTTTATCTAGTTCTAATGTACATTAACCAGATACTGAGAGGGGCTGAGTAGTTATACCTTTTCTCTGAATTCTGTTTCAGGATTTTATGACAAATTTATTTTGCTTCTGGATTTCAACAGCTTGTACCCTTCAATTATCCAGGAGTTTAATATTTGCTTTACCACAGTACAGAGAGTGTCATCAGATGCGCAGAAAAGAACAGAGGTTCGTATGCCCTAAGTGTTTTGATTTTGAGGTTGAGTTTGCATAGAAAAAAATCAAAGACTGTAATTTAAATTTTTTAATGCTACTAACTCATTTTTATTTTTAGTAGCACCCTCTAAGTGAGAACTGACATAGAAGCTCTCAAGGAGAGTGGTCTCTGTTTCAAGAAGCTTACAATCTGCTGATCTCCTCTTTTGCTTCCAAGTTCTTTGGACAGATGAAACAATTACACTGACGTAGCAGGGAGGAGGTACTGACAGCATTTTAAGTTTATTTTGTGTGTCTGCTGTATCCCCCAGTAAGTGGAAACTAAACTGTAGCAGTTCAGCAGCTATTTCATTTAATGGAAAATTGGTCTAATTTAAGATAAAGTATATATACAAGACAGTTAGTTACAAAATATCAGCTGATTTGCTGTCAGGAGAGGTAATTCTCTTCATCCTCACCTCCACCCTCTTAAATCAATCTAAATGTTTCATCTGTCCACAGCCAAACTACTTCCTTTTGTTAATTATCATCATGCTTCGAATCTTAGATGCGTGTGGGATGATGAAAGCTAAATTCTCTTTTAATCCTATCCTTTTCCTTTAGGCTGCTATATAATCTTTTTCCTGAAGCTTAAAATGTTTGTCCAAGTCTAGTTATCACATCCAAACTAAACTTTTTTTCCCCTCAGCCCTTGCCTCTTATTTTGTCCAATATTTAAAATGCATCCCTTTTTCTAGGACTTCTCATGGTCCTCTGTGTTGTGTTCCAAGTTCAATCTTTACATCTTTCCCTTTTGCTTACTGTTTCATTCCCTTATGCTCTCATTTCTTCCTACAGTTCCTTCCAAGCTGTTTTCTTAAAACTGGCCTTTCTCTGTTCTCTTTCTGCACTTGTATTTCGAGATTTTTTTATGCCTGGCACTTCTTGTTTTTTGGCTGTACAACAAACTTTTTTTCCATATCCATTTCTTCCACCAAACCCTTGGGTAGAATTCAGGTCTTCAGTTGATGAACTATGTCTTTGAAATGTATTTATGTGATTTAGAATGTAAGGTCACTGGTGTATACTCCAATTTCAGGACTGAAAACCAAAAGTGCTAAACTAGAAAACAGGAATTGTTTGCAACCCGCTCCCACCCTTGGCCTGCTGTTTGCGTCTGTAGTATTGGTATATGATCTCCAGTCAAGCAGTAAACACCTATAGTTGAGCTTAATCAGGGAATGAACCATGACACCCATCTCAAAGAAGTCTCATTGATGCAACCAAGCCCCTTTCAAGGGTGGGAACCTCTAAGGAGATGAAGTGTTTTTGCAACCACTGAAATCATCCAGATGAGGGTTAAATAATGAGGTTAAACAAAAAATGGACCATAAAATCTGGGTCTCTTAGGTCCTAAGTCATTCCTCCAGGCTTCTTAACCATGTAGTCATGGCTAAATACAAATGTCTGAATTGGGAATGGGTATCCCATTCTTTGAGAGGCTACTGCAACTTGGAGCTAGGTGTTTGTGCAAATCGTGTCATTGACAGCAGACAGTGGACTGTAATTATGATCTCCTTGCTGCAGTACTTCATAATTCCAGAGGAGACCCAACAGTTAAAAGCTTTTCAAGAGCTAACATATATTAAAGAAAAACACCTATGAGGCTTTAGGTTATTCAGAAGACTCAATACCACCTGAGTGTATATCTTGCTTCTTAAGAGGAAACTGTAAAAATCTCAGAAGCTGTGGAGGCAGAGACAACCTTCTTGATATGACTAGGATAGCAGAGCCTCCAATGAAGATACCTCTTTCTTTTCCACTTTACACCCTGGAGCATCCTTGTAATATTTGTGAGTTAATGTGGCTACTTGGGCTGGAAACAGATGTTGCTTTTGTGCTATCATAAAAACTTTTATGGTGGTACAATGGCCTAGTGAATAGATATCCATGCTCCTCGTCATGCCACAAAAGCCCAAAATCTGTGGCTGTGACATAGGTGGTATGAATTTGTGCTGCTATTTTGCAGCCGATATCTGTTTGCTTTTAGGTGAGAATTCTTGTTCCTGGGGTGCATAGAATCGGGCCTCTGTAGCCCTTAGACTGCCTGCGCAGGTTCCCCATTGGCGTAGGTGTTCCCCAAGTTCGATTTCCTGGGCATGCAAATGGGGAAATTCTGATTGTAGAAATATGCCCAGGGATTCCATCAGTCCTCCTCTTCTATCAGGGAAGCTCAGCATTGTTTGCAAAGGCATGCCCATAGTATTGTCCTTCAGGATTGGGCCCCAGCTGCTTCTCCCAGCAGCTGCAGAAGCCCAACCCTGAAAAAAAGTGGGCAATGTCTGTTTTGGCCAGTGAAGCAGGCCAGCTATGCTAGGAAACATGCTGGCATAACAGATCTGCTTCATTTGGCAATTTCTGTTTATACCCTTAGAACCTTAGGATCTAAATGCTTCTAGTTTAGGGAACTTTTGTTTTCTTTTTAGGAGTCCTGGTGATGGATATATTTAGTGTGCTATGTCCTAGAAACCATAGATAAGGGCTATTTCTTCCAGCTCCAGTTTCTCTCTATTTTTTGTCTCTTTTCAGAGACACTTCTCTTGAGATTTCCCAAAAAGATGAGGCTCTGGAAGGTCTCCTACATACTCGAAGCATCATTAGCTACCATCATAAGCCTGAATTTTCTGTCTTAAAGCAGTGATGCACAACATTCTGACCCCAGGGGCCAGATGAGTGATGCAGGATAGGTCTGTGGGCCAGACACAGCCTGGGGTCAGTGTATGGTGTTGGTTTGCTGGCCCATCCAGCTGTGATTCAGAGATCCAGCCATGACCCAACCCCAAGTGCCAGATCCAATAGTAGAGGGACCTCCCTGCCTCCCACTCCCTTATGCTGGTGCACAAAGCTGTATCATTCAACCGGCAAGACTTCTCACAGCAGTGGGCTGTGTAAATGTTGTAACTGAAGTCGACAACAATTAATCCATCTGCTGCTATCCAATTTCCAAATTTCTGGACCTGTAGGGAGCCCTGTGGGCCAGATGACGTGGCCCTATGGGCTGGATTTGGCCCTCAGGTCAGAGGTTGAGTACCACTGTCCTGAGCCATAAAAATATATTATAAAAGTATATATTGCTATTTCTGCCCATTGTCTACTAGAAAGGGGCCATATTGTCTTCTCTTTCCAGGGGTGGTTTGTTTACTCCTGTAAGAACTTCTCCATATCTTTCCACAAATTGGAGACTGCCTTTGCGGGATCCCAAATTTTAGTAGGATTAATTGTGACTGCCATTGGTCCATGAAGAGAGATTTCTTAGCAGTCATTGTCTCAGTCAAGAGGACAGGGAAGATCCAAGTCCTTATGGCACGAATATCTTATGCAGTAGTCTGCAGAGGCAAAGTGACTCTAAGGTAGGGGTGGGCAAAATACGGCCTGTGGGCTAGATTCATTCCACCAAGTGATTCTGTCCGGCCCATGGTGGGACTGTCAGCCTGGGCTGTGGCTTGTGTGACTGGTCCCCTGCCCCAGGTGTGGAGTTGCCATTTGATGTGGAGTATAGCCTACTCTATCCCAAAGGGGCATGTGGCTCTCAGGCACATTGGCAGCTGTGGTTCGTGGGGCTGAGTGGTATGGAGGTGGAGAAGGGGTGGTGCAGCAGCTGGACTCAGCTTCCCATTAGAGTGAACTGTGGGCATTTCACTCTGCACTCAGACTTCTGGCTGCTGCTGCCTGTGTCAGCCCCCTATCTGTGGAACCAGGGAGCAGATTGTGGTTCTGTCCCAGACCTCAGCCCTGGGTTGTCACCGCCCCACAATCCTGGCCCTGGCCCTGCTCACTGGTCCTGCACGCTTTTCTCCTGCAGCTCTATCTCATCCACCCTGCCAAGTGGGGGTCTTGAACCCACATGCGGGTCCATGGAGACCCTGCCTGCTTGCCCACTCTTTCTGGCACCCCTGCCAGTGGGTGTGGGGCGTATGGTCCTGGGGCCAGACAGGATCAATTGTCATCTCCCTGGCCCCTGCCCCCTACCTCAGCAGCTCACCAGAACTCCTTAAGTGGCTCTCCAGCCCAAATAATTACCCACCCCTGCTTAAGGCCTTCCCCAAATTATTTATCTTAGCTGGATGGTTTACCTACTGGTTTCTTTCCCAAACCCCAATTACTTGGTGTGGAATTTTTAATTCCTTTAGTGATATTGGGTCTGCCTCCCCTCCTCTCTCCTATTATCTAGATAGAGGAACTGTTCTTAAATTTCTCTAGATAATTTGCTGACAAAATAAAGGGTTATCCCATTTCCACAGAATCATTACTAACATGAGTCCCTCAAAACCAGCTATATGCTCACCTGCTCAGATCTACCTGGGCAAATGAGGACCCAACATAAGTATTCAATTAACCTTTGCTGATTCATCAAAAGATGTCCCAGAAAAGGTTTGTAAAGCAGCTACTCTGGAGTCCAGACTTACCCCTTCATTTTGTGCTACTTTTTGTTAGAGGGCTGTGAGCCTGATGGTTTGACAGCTTTGCATTTTGTTAAAGAAATTCCAAGCTCCCACATCCAGGACATGAATTGTTTGTTTGTTTATATATATATATATTAGGGCTGTGCAAAGCTTCGGTTGCTGATTCGATTCGGCCTGATTTGGTGGCCGAATCTCCAAATCTGAATTGAATCGGGAGACCCTTTTAATCTCTCCTAATCGAACTGGAACCCTCTGAATCGATTTGGAGAGATTCAACGATTTGGACATAGACACAGCTTTAACTGTTTTTTCTACATACCTCAAGGTACGAGGCAGCTCATGAACACTGAGATGATGGGGTGGATGCAGCGTCCCACAGGAGTGCGGGGGGTCCACATCGTGCTTGGCGGCGGACTGGGAAGTGGATCAGAAGCACTTCCGGTCCACTTCCGGGTCTGCCGCGAAGCTTGCGGCACCCCTCCTGTGCTCCTGTGGAAGGCTCCATCCAAGCTACGCTTGGTTCCTTGAGGTATGTAGAAAAAATATTTAAAGCTGTGTCTATGGCTAAATCACTGATTCTCCGAATCGGCATCCAATCTTCAGATTCGGATTTGGCCGAATTGAATCAGGATAGTGATTCGAATCAACGAATCCAATTGCTGTCCCCTGCATCAGGCCGTATACGTGGAGGTGAGTATACGCATATATGTATATACTAGCAGAAACCCACAAAATATTTGCGTTTAAATGTTTATTGCAAAAGTATTTCCTTAAATACAGGATTTTTAATTATTCTTTGGCTGAATGCTGTAATGGAATCAAAACTTCTCAACCTTGAACGGCACTGTTCCTGCCACCCTCCTGCCTTTTTCCTGGGGAAGCCAGCCCATTCCCAGGTGGTCCCAGGCAGTGGGAAGGTGGCAGGGATGGTGCACAGGGCACTTATAGACCACCAAGGCCAAGCTTCCCTGAGCATGCCTGGGCTTCCAGTACATTGTGCACTGTTGAATCTGGTGGGTGCTGCCTGTGAGCTGGGGCTGCACCCACGTAACTAGCATCCCACCTGGGAGGCACTGCTGCCGTGGAGGGAAGCACCGCATCCCCCCACAGCTTGGGGACTGTGTGACCTGGTGGCGGCTTGCACAGGCAGGCTCTGCCAAGGAAAAAAAAAGAAAAAAAAGTGGGAAGGGGCCTGATTTCCCCCCCCCGCCACCACCTCCCAGAGCCTGCCTGCATCTACCGCAGCCAGGCAGTGAGCTACTGGTGGGCCCTGAACTGCGGAAAACCCTGGTGCTTCCCACTGCGGCAGCAGCACCCCCTAGGCAAGAACTCGCCCACTGGCGACCTGCCCAGGCGGTCCCCTGGGGGGCATCGCTGCTGTGGAGGAAAGCACCGGGATCCCCTGCAGCTCAGGGCCCACAAAATAATCTTACAGTATTATTATTATAGATATGTGGGTGTGGATATACATGTGTATGTTTGGGTGTATATGTGTATATACATGTGGGTGGGGGTGTATGTGTGTACATATATGTATGTATAATGTTCTGTAGCTATACATATCTATATATATATCTGTATCTATATATTCAGGTGTGAGTGTACATGTACATGTGTATGGGACGTATGTGCAGGGGGTGAGCACGTGTGGGTGGTATATATGTGGGTGTATATGTATATGCAAGTGGATGTGGGTGGGTATATGTGGGTGTGAGTGGATGTTTGTGTGGGTGTCCTTGGATGTGGGTGTACATACATGTCAGTGTAAGTGTGTGCATGTGTGTATTTGTGTGGGTATATTTGTGAGTGTGGGGGTGTGTGGTATACTTATATGTGTGTGGATGTACATTTATGTTGGTGGGTGTACATGTGGGTATACGTGTGTGTATACATATGTACATATACTGTGTGGGTGTACATGCATATATATAAGGGCAAACATAGCAGTGCCCTCTGCGGCGGAGTAGGGTCTGTCTGTCCCCTACTCTGCTACAGCTCATCCATATATACATACATCCACATCTGTGTACACACACACACACACACACACACGTACATCCATACACTATGTATATATACCCACAACCACAGGTACACACACACACATATATGCGTAGGTCTACCTGTGGATAGTGTATGGATGTACATATATACGTATGTGTGTAGATGTGGATGCATGTACATATATTTGTCTTTGGAGAGGGTGTGTGTGTATGTACTTGTGTGGGTGTATGTGTGTGTGTGGATGTGTGTACCTGTGTGTGTGTAAATGTGTGAGTGGATGTACATGTATATATGGGTGTTGGCATATGGGGGTGTGTGTCCATGTATGTGTGTATACATAAATGCAAGGTTGCCTGTTGCACAGCTCTACAGTCCTACTGATACTTTTTCTGTTTCAGTAGGCAGTTTAAAACAGATTTTACTGCAGCTATGTTTTTGTTTTGGAAAATGCTTGACAACTTTTAAATTACTTTCAATTATCTTCAATGGAGAAAAGAGCCAATTGAAAATGTTGTGTGCATTTTTGTGCTTTAAAGATTCCATATGTAGAGCGAGTCATTGCATTGAATATTGAAACTGAGGTATCATAGTATATAGCAGTCTTGATATATTTTACAAATCTGTGCTCTTTTTGACAAGTACTGGGGAGAAGGGGTCCCTTCTAGGAAGTCTAGAACTGCTAGAGGTTTGTAAAGCTGTCAACCTCTTTCTGTGTAAAAGTTAGAACAATTTTCCACACACCCTGGTTAGCTTGAATACCACTTGAAAGAGAATTGGTGTCTGAATCTTTTGTCCCTCAAGGGCTGAAAAGAATTTTTGTCTTTGTCTTTCTGCATTGGCACTGATGCACCCCTGAAGACTTTTATTTCTGGTTCTTGTGTGGTATTCAAGGACCACATCTTTTGAAGTGCATTGGAAATATTATTGCCTAATTGCTGTCAGTTCCTCAGCCATAGGTCCAGGAATTCCAGGGACATGAGTGGTAGTGCAACCTGTTAAGCAACAGCATATTAATTAAACAGCTGAAAAGCACAAAAGACACCTTCATGTCTGCTATTTTAAACTGGGTTCTATGAGTGCATATCCTTTTTTTTTACTTGGCAAAAAAATGAGTACTTCATTCTTGGATTTTTCCCTGAACAGTACAGAGAAGGAGAGCTAAAGCCTACCTTCAAAGCAACGTTTTGATAAATGTAGATGATTGTTTGACAGGAAGGAGAAGAAGAAGAAATTCCAGAGTTACCAGACTCATCGCTAGAAATGGGAATTTTGCCGAAAGAGATCAGGAAACTAGTAGAGAGAAGGCGACAAGTGAAGCAACTGATGAAACAACCACATTTAAATCCTGACCTCTATTTACAGGTATGTCTTATGTAAGAGCTCCCCTTGCTTCATTTTATCTTAAGTGCCTTTGTCTGACTACAGAAGAGAAGGGATTCCTTTAGTAGTCACAGAAGACTGGAAAAACTTCTATTCACTTCAGTTGAAGCTTATCGAGATAATAGGAACAGGAAGTAATTGTGAATTTAACTGTGAATCTTGTTAAATGTATTTGGTTCTTTTTTCAGTATGATATCAGGCAGAAGGCTTTGAAGCTTACAGCTAACAGCATGTATGGTTGTCTAGGATTTTCCTACAGCAGATTCTATGCCAAGCCTTTAGCTGCTTTGGTGACACACAAAGGGAGAGAGGTGAGTTATTAAAAAGGTATGAATATGTTTTAATGATGAAGTATCTGTTTTTAGTGAGTAGCTGAGTAGTTTCGACTCATTACCTACTTTCATTTTTACTTTGTAATTGTAACTTAATTTTTGCTTTTTTATGCTGAGAAGGTGAAAGGGAAAAATTAAAGTATACCAATGACATAGATGCAAATACAACCATTATCTATGGATGGGAGTCCTCTGTTGATATGCTACTTCTGGTTTTGGTATGATAAACTAATCTGAGGCCAAATAAAGGGTACTCTTCATCTCATAGAGAATTTAAATAGTTGGTAAGCTATTGTACCAAGTGATTTGGCAGTGTACTAAGCTGACAATTGATTTGAATGGCTACTTGTATGTGTGAAATTATGTGACTGAGGGACCTGCCTGAATTGGGGCCTTGCTTTTTCAAATGCTGTTAGTACTTTGTCACAGCTCATGTACAGGTCTCCGAGTGCTAAAATTAGGGGTGCACCGATAGAGATTTTGGGGGCTGATACTGATAGCCGATATTTAAGGAGGCATATCAGGCAATACCAGTTTGGTTTACGATACAGCTGTGTACAGCTGGTAATTCTGTTGTGGGGGGAGGGAAGGGGCATGGCGGGCAGATCAATGTCCCCATTCCGTGGTGAGGGAGGGAGGGGATGGGGTAGGCACTGCCCGGCTGGGCTGGAGCTGCAGCTTGTTGGGGGTAGGGTGCTCCTGGATCTGCACGGGGAGGGGCGGATGGGCTGCAGCTGCAGACTGGAGCCAGGGCTGTGTCAGGTTCCTCTTGGCAGGGGCTGGGCTCGGGGTGGGCGTCAGGGTGCTGGGAGGGTCAGACTTGACCTCTGCTCCATTAGTTGTCAACTTGATTTATAATATTTATGTTCTTGCTTTTTTATTATTGGGGTAAAATGAACTGTGCTTGAATAACTTCAGAATTTTTTGGAATGAAATTTGGGTCATAATGGTGTATATTTATGGTAGGTACTGATAAAATAGACTACATTAGCCATTTCTGTAGAGTTTTTTTATTTTCTGGGAAGACCAAAGGTGAATTAGGAAATTAATAATAATTTAATTAGTAGTTTTTACCCAGATCAGTTTTTCAATGGACAGTTCTTTCTAAAATAATAGAAATAATGATCATTCTTTTTAGGAAATTGTAGCCAAAAAGGATGGAGTATTAAACCCTTTTTTAACTTCTTAGTACTATCAACAAATAGTAATGAAACATATTACTTTTAGCAGTTGGAGCAATGGGCTGTCACTATCAGCCTGTGTAGGAAAAAAAATAAAGAAAAGTCCAAGAAAACAAGTATATTTTTATGAAATTTGATAAAGAAATGGTGCATATGACAGCTAAAAAGGTCAGAATATGTCACATGAGTTGGTAAGTTTTGAGAAGTCCTGAGATACTAGCCTCAGTAGCTTGTGAAGCAGGTCAGTGGGATCTCAGTATGCCTTTACAAGAAACAAAATTATAGTTTCCTTTAAGGCACAACTTGGGTTAGTATTTTAATTTATATTTTTGTTAACCTTGAAGAAAGTATAACAGTATATTTTAATTAAAAAAAAGGCAGGAAGTGCATTTCGAGGATAAGTGCAGAGTAGACTTTGAAGTGCTACTTTTTGGAAAGGTGATAAGCCATTTGGTGGCTGACAGCACCCCTCTGTAAATAGTAGGACTTTTCAGTATGACACATACACAAAGCTGGGTACTTTTGCTTAAAGCACTAGACAGCTGAATATATAAGTAATTTTAATTAGTAATATTTTGGCAAGATGCAGGCTTGGCTCTGTGACGTTCTAGAAGTATATACTGTGCACTTGTATTGTGCTTTGACTAAATAGTCCTATAATTTGTGCATTTTCATTTTACAGTCTTATTGTTATGCTAGAAATTATCTCCTTTTTTACTGTGAAAAGAATCATTTTTATAAAGGGGACCCTAAGTCTGCATCTTTTGAGTGGGAGCAATACATGAATGAGCAGCAGCATTTTTTTAGAGAAGCTAAGTGCTCTGAACAGTCATGCCTTCCGATAGTACAGCCTTGTTCAATCAGCTTTTCTTGACATGTGATGTAAACTTAACAATGATTGGTAGACCTGTTTGCATGTGTAGGTTAGCCCTTAGCAGAGATACTTGGGGAGTACGAATTTTGCCTGTGTACATGATTCCAGCGAATAAAATATAATGTATGAAATGGCTAGTGTTGTAATTGTAGTGATTTTTCACTAGATGGCGATAGAGACCTTGAGATCATTAATCAATTAAGTATTTAATTTATGTCATTAAATGATTATACTCACTGCATTTCAAACAGACCTTTTTGTGATAACCTGTAACTCAGTAATATAGAGTATCAGTGTGTGGTTATTTTGTTTTAATTTGAAACTTAGGGTATGACAGGCCTATTTGTACAAGTTTTAGGTATTCTTGAAGGAAAATGCTTTTTTTAAGGGGATGGGTTAAGTCGGATGGACGGTAGCAAGTAAATTTTAGCCATTTTTTTCTGTAAGCCCAAGTATTTGCCAACACCAAAAGGCAGTGGAAATGTTTACATTAATTATGTTTTCATAATCAAATGGGTTTTTCTTGACAAAGCATTCTCTGCAGTATTTCCAAGCCAAACACTGCATTAGTGAGTTGGTTTTATAATACATTTAATTGTCAAAAGTTTTTGTGTTGCGGACCAACCGTAACAGGAGTTTTCATGGGACGCTTCTCTTCTGGTAACTACAGCAATTGCTTGCATGGAAAAAGTAATAGGAAAGTATTTTATGTATTTTTAGCTGTCCTTTAATGTAATTTAACAACTGGAAACAAGGCGAGTCAGTGCTGTATAACCAGCCAGCTCTGTGCAGGCCACTGATGACAGTCAGTGTAAGGTCAATCCGTCACTCTCTTTGAAAGACAGTCTTCCTGCGGTGAGTCAGATGTGTTTGGTTTCCCAATTCAGGATTCCCTGCTTTGAAGACTGTTTTCTGTGGGGCAACAGAATTGTTGCCAAGCTGATGGGTGGGCCGAACGCAGTTGCCATTTTCCTAAATCAGTGTTCTTTTTGCATAATGACATCTTCTCCAGGATGTAATTCTTCTCTCAGGATGTAATTCTAGACTTCATTTTATTGGCCCTTTAATCTTGTCTGCCTCGGGATGGTGATCCCCATCTTGTTTTAAGGCATAGCTGTGTATTTTCTCCAGAGCTATCCTGCTATGCCTGCAACAGCTTTTCAGATCTCCTTTCCATAGTATAATTGTGGGACAGGTAGAGGAACATAAGCTGGGGAGTGAGTCCTCTTAGGCTGCTTACAGACCTGAAAAACAAAAAAACCAGTGCTTTACTTTCAGCTTGGCATGCTCCCATGCCAAGCATAGCACATGTCCAGAAGAGCATTGCATTAGTTTGACCTAGCTTGTTCAATATCTGTATAGATCAGGCACTTCAGTGGGGCTTTTTGATTGAATCAGCTATTAGATAAAAGCGACAAAAATCTCTGCTGAAGTGCCCAATCTATACAGACACTGGGGAGCCAGGTCAAACTAATAATGCAGTTCCTCTTTCAGTTAAAGTGCTGGTTTGTTTTTATTTCATGTCTGTCAGCGCCTTTAATGTCTTGTTAGAAGCAGCCTTCTTGCTGCCATCCACAGTTCCACTAGACCTGTGCCATCCAATATAACGTTTGAGGAGACATGTAGCTTAGATGCTGAAAAACACAAGAAAAAAAGGTTGTTTCTCAATATTACAATGACAGACTGATGAACTGGTAGTCAAAAGTGCTACCTTATGCTTTAGAACAGGGGTTGGCAACATTTTTGGGCAGAGTGCCAAAAACACTCACAACTTTGACTTGTAAGATGTTGATTTGCCAGGGGCAGACGGTGGGGGAACTGAGGGGCCTGATCCTTGTTGTGGCAGCACAGCCCTGGCTCCTTCCCTGAAGCATGCATGCCAAGCAAAATGCCTTTGTGTACCATGATCTAGCACATGTGCCAGGGGTCACCTGCCCCTGCTTTAAAAATTCCTTTAAGTTGTGTAGCAGGGACTAAAGATCCTACATCAAAAGCCCAGCAGTCTTCTCTTCCAAGTATTAGGCCAGAGATCTTTGAGTCTCAAGGAGATGATTCAACAGGCCCAAAAATTTAAGTACCAACAGTACTGCCTGGATGTAGCCCCTGTTGCAAGCAGGTATATCATATAATCCCTTCATGAACTGATCAAGAGCCATCTTTAAATGAGTTTAGGTTTCATGTCCTTACTGCTTCAATTTAAAGATAGTCCCAGGACCTCTGTTCTTTGGCTAGGAACCTTCATGTTTTTCAAAAACTGAAGAATGTTTAGGATGGAAAACTTTTAATTGTGTTACCTTAATTTTTATTTTGTGTTGCTTGTTTTCCCACCTTACCATTATGTTCCTATACCTTATGAGCTAGAAAACATGGGCACAGCCACTTGCCATTCAAAAATGTTAGCTTTTTAGAGACTCAACAATACCTATTAGGCCTGTGTGAATAGGGAAGTATTCGATTCGGATTCGGAGGACAGTGATTAGATTGAGATCACTGTCCTGAATTGATTCAGCCAAATCAGCTTCTGAAGATTTGGTGTTGATTCAGTGATTCGGATCAGCTGGGGAGAGGCAGGTATAGCCAGGTGGCCCCTCCAGCTGTGCCTGCCACTCCCCAGTGCAGCCGTGGGAGAAGCCCCCATGGC